GTGTGTGTGTGTGTGTGTGTGTGATGTGGGGTAATTTCTGTGCAGGAACACGATGTGGTGTTGTGTGGGGCAATGTGTGGTAACACTGGGGGTATGCATGTGGTAGGGGGCAAGGTCTGATTTAAACACTGGGTGTGTGTTGGTTGGGGTAATGTCTGTTCAGTGAACACTGTGTATGCATGTGTGGGTAGTGTCTGTGAACATAAGGTGTATGTTTGTGGTGGGGGTATATAGTCTGTGCAATGAACATTGGTTTTATGTGTGTGGTGGGTATAATGTAAGTGCAGTAAATACTGTGTGTGTGTGTGTGAGTGTGTGTGTGAGTGTGTGTGTGTGTGAGGGGGTAATGTCTGTGCAGGTAACTTGGGGTACCTATTGTGTGCTGGGGGATGTCTGTAAACACTTGATGTGTGTGTGTGGTTGTGGGTAATACTTGCAGGAAAACTAAGTGTGTTTGTGTGGTGAATAATGTCTGTAAACACTGTGCGTATATGTTAAGAGTATTGTTTGCTCTATGAACACTGGGTGTATATGTGTGCAGGGTTAATGTCTGTGCAATGAATACCGTGTGTTTTGGAGTAGAAGGTAATGTCTATGCAGGAAAAACTGGGTGTGTTTGTTTTTAAGGGTAATATCTGTGAATACTTGATATTTGTGTGGGGGTATTATCTGTGCAATGAACACTATATGTGGGGGGGAGGTTAATTTTCTGCATTTAACACTAGGTTTGTTGTGGTCTCTAACAGTGTTTCTGAATGCTGGGTGTGTGTATGGTAGAGGGTAAGTGACCACTGACTGTGTATGTGGTGGGGGTTAATGTCTGTGCAATGAAAACTGGGAGTGTGTGGTTGGGGTATTTTCTGTGAAATGAACACTGGTTGTACATGTGTGGCTCATTTTAATGTCTATACAGGGACCCCAGGTATGTTGTAGTGGTGGGTAATGTCTGAGCAGTGAATACTAGGTTTGTGTTTTTTGAGGGACAATGTCTGTGAACACTGGGTGTGTGTGTGTTTGTGATGGGAGTAATATATGTGCAGGAACACTCGGTGAGTCTGTGTGTGGTGGGGAGTAATGCCTTTGCAGCAAACACATGGTGTATATTTGTGGTAGGGTTAGTCTGCAAATGAATGCTGATGTCTGTTGTTGTGCAGGTAATGTCTGTGAAGGTGTGCATATGTTGGGAACTAATTTCCATTCAGGATCACTGGTGGTGTGTGTTATGGGTGGCAATGTCTGCTATAACTGGGTGTTTGTATGGATGTGGTAATGTTTGTGTAATCAACACTGGTGTTGTGTATGGAAGTATATATGTCTGTTCAGTGAACACTGGATGTTTAATGAGTTGCAATTTCTGTGAACCCTGGGTGTATTTGGGGTGAGTATTGTCTGCAATGAACACTGGGTGTACATGTGTGTTGGGGGTTAATGTTTGTGCAGTGAACACTTGCTGTTTGCATCGTGGGGGTTAATGTCTGTACAATAAACACTTGTGTGTTTGTTGTGAGGGTTCTGGACTGTGAACATTGTGTGTGTGTGTGTGGTATGTTTTAATGTCTGCGAAGATTGGGTGTGTGTTGCATGGGGGTAATGTCTGTGCAGTGAACTCTGGGTTGTGTAAAGTAATGTCTGTGAACACTGGGTATATGTTTGTAATGGGGATAATGTCTGCAATGAACACTAGCTCTGTGTGTGTGGGGTAATATCTTGAACACTGGGTGTATATCGTGGGGCTAATGGCTGTGAATATTCTGTGTGTGTGTCATGGTGAGTAATGTCTATTGTACTCCAGGTGTGTATATTTGTGTGTCTAGTGGGAATTAATGTCTGTGAACAGTGTTTGTGTGTGTGGTGGAGGCTAATGTCTGTGCAGGAAGAGTGGGTGGTCTGTTTTTGGGGGGCAATGTCTTTGACCACTTAGTGTTTGTGGTGGCGGGTATTGTCTGTTCAATGAACAATGGGTATATGTGTATATAGGGGCTAATATTCCTCCAATGAACACTGTGTGTGAGTGGTGGGGGTAATGTCTGTCAGTTAACTTTGAGCATGTGTGTGTGCAGTGTGGATTAATGTCTGTGAACAGTGGATGTGTGTATGTGGTTGTGGGTAATATCTGCATTAACACTGGGTGTGTGTCTTTGTAGGAATACTGTGTGTATGTATTGTGTGGAGCAATGTCTGTAAACACTGGGTGTGTGTATGTGTAATGGAGGTTAATATCTGTGCCATGAACACTGGATGTCTATGTGTCTATGTGTGGTGGGGGTAATGTTTGTGCAGTGAACACTGGGTGTGTGTGTGTTGTGGGGGTTAATGGCTATGAATACTAGATATGTTGTGTGGTATGGGTTAATATCTGTGAACCCTGTGTGTGTGTGTGTGCGTATTTTGAGGGGTAATGTCTGTGAACACTGTGTGTGTGGTGGGGGTTAATGTCTATAAACACTGTGTATGTGTGGTGGTAGTGGGTAATATCTCTGCAGTGAACACTGGCTCTATGTGTGTGGTGGGGCCTAAGATCTATGCAGGATTACTGATTTTGTGGGGGGAGGGGCAATGTCTGTTAACACTGGGTGTGTGTGTGCTGTGGGTGGTAATATCTGTGAACACTAGGTGTGTTGTGTGGTGTGGATTAATGTCTGTGAACCCTGGGTGTGTTTGTGCTCGGGGTAATGTCTGTGCAATGAGCAGTGTGTGTTTTGAGGGGTAATGTCTGTGTGTGTAGTGGTGATTAAAATGTGTGAACACTGTGTGTGTTGGGGGGTACATCTCTGCAGTGAATAATGGCTCTATGTGTGTGGTGAGGGCTAATATCTGTGCTGGAACACAGGATGATTTTGTGTGGGGCAATGTATATTAACACTGGGTGTGAGTCTGTATTGGGGGTATTGTCTCTGCAATGAACACACTATGTGTGTGTGTGGTATGGGGTAATGACTGTGCTGTGAACACTCTGTGTTTGGGTATTTGTGTGGGGGGACTAATGTCTGTGGACACTGTGCATGTGTGTGTGAGTAGTGTCTAAGAACACTGGGTGCATGTTTGTGGTGGGGGTATTGTTATGTGCAGTGAACACGGTGTGTGGGGGGGGGTGGAAGGTAATATATTTTCAGTGAACCCTGTGTGGTAATGTCTATGAAAGTTGAGGTTTGTGTGATTGTGGATAATATCTTGTGTAGTGAACACTGTGTGTGTGTGTGTACTGGATGGTAATATCTGTGCAGGAACCCCGGGTGTGTGTTTTGGGGTGCAATGTCTGGTAACACTAGGGGTGTGTGTATGTGTGTGTGGTGGGGGGATGTCTGTGCAATGAACGCTGTGTATTTGTGTGGTAAGGGTATTATCTGTGCAGCGAACACTGGATTTGTAAGTGTGGGTGTGGGTAGTGTCTGAACACTGGTTGTGTATGTGTGGTGGGGGCATGTTTGTGCAATGAACATGGGGTGTGGATGTATAGTGGGGGTAATGTGTTAGCTTTGGGTATGTATGTATGATGGGGTGTATTGTCTGTGAACACTAGATGTGTGTGGGGGTGTGGGTAATATCTTTGCCATTGACACAGAGTGTGTGGTGTATGGTAGGGACAATGTTGTGAAGAGCAATGTCTTTCACACTGGGTGTGTGATGTGTTGTAGGGGTTAATACCTGTGCAATGAACATTGTGTGTGTGTATAATATCTGTAAACACTGGGTGTGTGTTGTGGGGTTATTGTCTGTGCAATGAACCCTGTATTTTTGTTGAGGTAATGTCTGTGCATTGAACAGTGGGTGCATGTGTGTGGTGGGGTAATGTCTTTGCAGTGAACATGGGTGTGCAGGGCGTAATGTCTGTGCAGTTAACTTTGTGGGGGTATGTGGTCAGAGGTAATATCTGTGAACACTGGATGTGTGTGTGTGTGCGTGGTGGGGTTTCATGCCTGTGCAGGAACATTGTATGTGTTGTTGGGGGCAATGTCTTTAACACTGGGTGTGTGTGTGTTTAGGGGTATTGCTTGTGCAATGAACACTGTTGTGTATGTGGTCAAGAGTAATGTCTGCTCAGTGACTACTGTGTGTGTTGGGGGGTAATATCTGTGCAGTGAACACTGAATGCATGTGTATGGTGGGGGTATTGTCTGTAGTGACAATACTAGGTATGTTTGTGTGGTGGCAGGTAATGTCTCTAGGGAACACTGTGTGTGTGTGTGTTGGGGGTTTTGTTTTAAACACTGGGTTTTTATGTGTGGTGGGGATCAATGTCTGTGAACATTAAGTATGTGTGTATGGTACAGATTAACATCTCTGCATCGCACACTTGGCATGTGGTGCTATTGTCTGTGCACACAGTGTGTATCAGTGTGTATGTGTGGTGTGGGATGTGTGGTGTGGGGTAATATGCACTGAAACTAAGTGTGTATGTGTCATAGGAGGAAAATGTCTGTGGACAACAAGTGTGTATGTGTGTTGGGAGGTTTTGTTTATGCAGTGAACACTAGAGTGTGCAATATAATTGGGTAATGTACTTTCTTCAGTTTGTTTTTTGCCTAGTCTTTGGAAACACTTAAAGGCCAAGAAGTCTTCATTTTGGGGCTGGAGAAGTTTTTGTTTACATCAAATTAGTTGTGCTGTTTCAGAAGGAACAATGTGGTCACAGGTAGAAAAACTGGATTTTGAACTTCTATTTTGGATAAAGTAGATTACTTTGGGTTAAGTCCTTGTGTCCTGAGAGTATAACCCAGTGTGAGATCTGGATACAAGCCCAGCACTATCACCAGTCAGGCAACTGGACCTCTTCCCCTTCCTCAGATGTTTAAGAAAACAATAACACTTTTTTTTATTTTTTTTTATTCATGGTGCTGCCCAGCTTACTGGACACCCTGGGTTTACACAGTCCAACTGCTTGTGTATTGGGAAATACACAGCGTGGTGTTCAGTTGAATGGTTTCATGATGGGGATGTACAGGCTGGGTTGGAATGCTGCTTGGGGAGGTATGATGAGGGGAGTCAAAGAAGTTGTTAGCTCACAGGTTAGTGAGCAGCCAGTCTAACAGTTGCTTCCTCGCCATGTTTCCCACAGCTTCATCCAGCTGGCGTTCCTTGGCAAACTTCATGACTTCTTGAAGGAGATCTCCTACACTGTATCCCTTCTCCGCTGCCTTAGCTGAAACCTCCGGAAGCTGTGGAGAGAGAAGTTAGCTTGAGTCATGTGATGCTTTTGGAGACAGGGCCCAGCTGAATTTTAAAGTGAACTGACCCCCTCCCCACTTCCTTGCCTATGATTCTGGGATTAAAGATTGCTACAGATCTTTAGGACTAAGTTCTATGGACCTCCCCAAACCCCTATAATCCCGCCCCCACCCGGCAAACCCCCACCCCACCCATTCCAGCCCTCTTCTTCTTGTGCCCGATTGCATGGCTTACCTTCTCCAGTTGTCCGTCATCGTCTCCCATGAAGTAGAGCATGGGCACGTTAAACTGGGAGGCCGCAATCCACTGAAGGACAGCCTGGAGCTGCTTCTGCAAGTTACTGGTTGAGCACTGATTATTGACAATAACTTCTAGTCCAGGAGAATCTGGAGAATTCTGTGACACTGCACCCTCGTTATTGCATTTAGAGCTACTACTGGCTTGGAAATTGGTGTTTCCCAAAGCTTGTTCTTCTAGCTCGGCAAGGGCTGCCCCGTTACTGCTGTACTTAGCCATGATAAGGCACAGTTTCATCACAGATTCTACGAGTTGATCTACAAATTGTCGATTCACTTGCTTCATCCCAGTGATAAAATCCATTTCTTGATTGTCCTGGCACTGTTCTTCCATTTTTTCGGGCCTCTTGGTCATGGAAGTTGCTTTGTTTGCTTTGGTCTCAGAACGTTTGTTTTCACCTTCACATATCTCATCGCTGCCGAAGGGGCTCTCGCTGAGCAGTTTCTGAATCAGTGTTAGAACGATGTTTGGCATATCCAGCTTCTGGGAGTCAATCTGTTGTGTATCCTTGGTAGAGGTAGATGGTCCAGGAGTTCCACGAGATTCTAGATGTTTCGTTGAAAGAGTCTTGGCATTTTGGCCATTTCCAGACTTTTCATATTGGGCGCCTTGAGACATATAGCTCATGGAAGAGCTAGAGCATTCTTCTTCACATGCATCTTTGCCTTTGGCCTGTTGTGTCAGATGGTACTGGATCAGCATAAGGGCGGAGACAATCAAATCTTTTGCCAGAGAATCGGTGGAAGAGTTGATTTTTTCTCTTTTTTCTTCTTTATTGGTGCATGCTTTACCAGCAGCCTTGCTAGAGTTCCCTTGCTTTTGATTCCACATTGTCAGGCTTTCCTTGAGGATGTGTTCACCGACCCGCTCAGCACTAGTTAATGATTTGCATTGATCTGGTTTTGTTTTGCCTTTGTCCTTCCCTTTCATTTCAGCCTTCATGGCTGAAATTTCAAGACTTTGGTTCTTGCACTTGGGATCATGGGAGCCAGTTTTCAGTGATGCATACGACAAACTCTGTGATTTCGTTTCCCTCCTCTCTCCAAGAAGAGCACAGACCAGACGTTTCAGCATCGCTTCCATGATCCCTGCGGCATTTTGTTTCCCATGATTGAACAGATTCCTCTTGACAGCTGACACAAAATCTGAGTCGGTCATCAGGACACCAGTGATATTATGCAAGTTCTTCATGCAAGAATCAATCAAATCAGACACAATGTCCTTGGTATGTTTTAACAGCACCCTCTTCAGGACCACACAGGCTGGAATTGGTTTCCCAGAACTATGGACTTTCAAGGTCTTCATAACAGAGACCATCATGTCAGATGCCACCTGATTTGCATAAACCATAAGCCCTTTGCTTATGGAATCTGCAAATTCCTTACTATCTTTTTGGCACATCTGTTTTTCACCACCCTTGTTCTTGTTGGACAGTTCACTATACAGAAAGGTCTTTCGGCCACTATCTCTACACTCCTCACCATTGCCTCGCATTTCTGCAGAGGTTACCTCTACAGCATCATGGACCATTTCAGAAGCAATCTTACTCACAGCAGTACGGGGGCTATTTTTCCCCTTTTCCCCAGAGGGCGGATAGATTGAATGGTGAAGGCATTTGCTTCCACCTTCCAATTTTTCTTTGATTTCCTTCCGTGCCATCTGGATAACCAGAGAAGAGAGGCGGTTCACGTAAAAGGAAAGGTCATCCATGGAACATTCTCCATCAGGTGAAATGACTGCCCTTGGGGAGCTAGGAGATTTGGCTGGAGGAGTGGATGGGCTCTGATTATTGTTGGTGTTTTTAGCTGCTGTCACTTCTAGGTGTAGGTTGTGAGATCCGTCGGTCGCATAGTCCATATTCAGTTGATCAGCATAGACACTATAGCAGTTCCCAAATTTTTGAAACTCACTAGTTTCTCCTATTTTATGTTTACAGCTAGAGGCTGAGGGGCTTAATGCATGCTGGAAACCCAAGGCATACTTTTGAAGGTCGTTGAGAAGCCAACTGAGTACACTTATGGGGTCAGAGGGAGTTTGTTTGAAAAGACATACAGATCCCTCCATCTAAAAAAAAAGAAGAATACCTATCTATAAGAGTGTGGGCAAGCGACCTCTTTTATTTTATTTAGAAAATATATAGACTGAAGATATTAGAGATTTGACCTTTATAATTTGCATTGAAACATAACATATAATTTTCATTGATACGCATACAAGCACAAGTGGTAGTAACAAAAGTTTATAGACAGGTATATAGAGGATAGATATTTGTACACTTACCATATATAATAAGCATTATAAATGTTTATTAATAAATCTGAATGTGACACATATCTCATTATGCACCATAAGGATTTCAAAGTGGAAAAAATTTCAATGTGCCCGTTGTTATTCATTATAGTAATCCATGAATGTATCTCAATAGGTGTGAGAATGTGTTAATCTGTGTTATTAGTATGTGAAAGTGTGCCAGTGCATGTACATGTCAGTGCATTTGCATGACTGACTACATGTAATGCAGTCATGTAGCATCATATGCTGACATCAGTACCCATTGTTTATGTCACTGTATAAGCCAACTTATGTATGTTAACATGTACACTTTGTATGTGTGAATTTAAAAATACTGTGGATATTAGTGTATCTTTGAATATGTAAATGAGCAAGTGTTGATCTGAGTGATCTGCATGTTTTGATATGAATTCAATAACATGTCTAATGCACTTATTTTAAAGCATAAATCCATCTATTGACTTGCATATTAAAACACAACATTAATATATGTATGTTAAAGTATGAATATGTAAATAAGTGATTGTATGATGACTATGCATGTCAATGAGTTGGGTATGTCATATATATATAGCAAATATTTATAAATATATATATTATATATTTGTATATATCTATACATAATTATAAATTATGTTATAATAGAATATATGTATAAATATATATTCTATGCCAATACTTGAGAATGTGTATAGGTTTTGCATATACCTGACCTTTGATATGTGCCTGAATACATGAATTTGGATATCACTGTGTGTTGTGTCTGTGTGTATTAATGCATGCATGCAAATGTGTGTGTTAGTGAATATGTATCATTTTGTTTAAGTTCACATGTATGTATCAAATAGTCATAAATATTTGTGTCTATACCTCAGTCTGTATTATGGTATTTTGATCAAGGCTTGTGTGTGTTAACACATACAAGTATATGTTCATGCATGGTGTGCATGGATATATATGGATGCTGATCAGTGCAGCTGACCCTAGAACTTCCTATCGTTGTAAATGTGTGTAAGTCACTGTCAACATATGCTGTATCAATGTTTGTGTGTGGCCAGTGTCACTTGTAGTTAGGCATGTGTGTCATTGTGTTAAATTTTGTGTTAATGTGTATAAATTTATATATATAGATGTGCAGCACTGTGTAAATTTGTATTTGTGCATCTTCGCTTATGGCTGTATGCCCATGTCCAGATATGTGCAAGAGAACTAAACACACATCTTCTACTCTGTTGATTTCCCTCTCCTAGAGATATGACACCATTGAAAGATTAACTTTTTGCAAATAGGTTTGTTGTAATCAAGGGAGTCTCCATTGTGCAGAGGAAATGCAGGCTATGCTTTAAAAAATAAACACCACACATAATTTGTCCTTTATTAAGACTGTGAAGTATTGTTGGTCATCTCCGACTGAATCCAAAACTCTGGAGAATATTGAAATGTTTTTTCTTCTTTGCGGGCTGCTCTCATTACTCATCCTGCCCCCCGCCCCTTGACCCTGTGTGATATCAAGAACGCTGACTCCTCATAAACATTACTGAGTGCTTGGGGCCAGAAATGTTTCTGGTCATAATAACACGTGTGTTAGAACAAGAAATATTTGATCTTTGTGTATTAAAGTCAAATATCTTGTTCCAATACCAGCCACTATACCCTTGAGGGACTGTGGGAGTGACTTGTTGTGCTCTGATGCCCACCCCAAAGCAGTGGCCTAACAGATAAAATTTAGAATACACAATTTCCTGCTATCTGAAAGTAGAAAGCATGTGTTATGATTTGGCAGGCTATTTTTTGAGTCTTGTGGAACACACGGTTTCTATAGAGAACATTGTATTTACCTAGTCTCTGAACTTAAGCCTGCACTCTCTAGAATATCACAGTGCTCAAATTTAGGATCTGTTTGACAATAGTTTTCATATTAACTCTGGACCAGAGTCCTCAGATTTAGCACTGGGACTAGAAAGGGTGGGCTTGAAGGCTCAGCATACTTTCAACTGATCTTTGTGACTCAAGAGGTTAAACATACCTTAGACTGGTCTTGTTTTTCGGTGTCCTTGATCACGATAATTTCTTTTTCCTCCAGATTCTCTAGGTTTAAGTCACTGTCTGAACTAGAACAACCAGCATCCTATAAAATAAACAGTTGAATTTAGAGACTTTTTCAAGCTGCCCCCAACCCCATTACCTCTTCAAAGCATGAAATCATGTCTTCTATTGTCCCTTTTCTTTCTGAAGACAAGGCCATCTACCGCAACCTCCCCTTCCCTTGTGTTACCACTGGTAACTCTTCTCCATAGTTACCCACCCATTATAACTCTGAGAAGCAGAAAACACTCACCTTAGAATTTTTATTTTCCACGTTCAGGGTGGACACATCGACAAAGCATATCTGCATCAAATTAAAAGGATGAATTTAGAAAAAATCTAGAGAAAAGGTCATAATTTCTCTTTCTGAGAGGTGGTAATAGCACCTACCTGACAGGGTTCTTGTAAGGATTGACTGAGATAGCGCATATACATGTTTTAGCACTGTACCTGTACCTAGTACTCAATAAATATTATTAACATGATTACTAGGCAGACAGAATCTTAGCTTTATTATATTTCCTAAAGGAGGCCACCTACCTAGCAGAGAGAGCACCCCAAAATGCATTATTCACATTTATTAAGAAAACTGAGAAGTAGTGTGCCTGACACAGTCTGAAAGGTGGCGCATGAATTAGAACTCAGTGTGTGACACACACACAAACACACACACCGCCCAGTTTAGGACACACTTTACTCCATGAGTGTTCTAAAATGTGGTGTTTTTGCTATTGATGATACAGACCATTTCAGTGGGTATGTGGGTGAACACTTCTGTGCTTAGTAGAGGCAGTTTTTGTTGTTTATAGAAAAAAACAATTAATAGAACATGAAACCTGCAGTATTATGGGTAATAGTGCTCAGAGTGTTGGTAATCTTTGAATGAAAGTGCATTTTAAAAACAATGTCCATTTTAAAAACACATTAAGTAGCCAATAGTATGAGTGGGTACTTGAATATGATTTTAAAATGTGAAGTACTGTGAAAATCACTTGATATTTGGGAATGGAGCCTGAAATTTTTTTGCCCTCCTGAGCAGTCCCACTTTATAGTAGGTTGCTTGAAGCTAGGCAGTGGTATTATGACCTAGAAGGTGAGGTAATAAGGCTGGCAGCTGGGCAATCACTACTCCTCCCACCCCTCAGACCACCCCCCCACCCAGCCTTTCCTCCCCAACCTCTTGACATCACTCATCCTGCCCCCACCATCTTGTCCCTGTATGATATGAGCACTGGCTCCCCATAGACATTATTGAGTACTTGGTTGCTTAGAAACCCGTAGTATCATCCTCCATTAGTTTATCCTGGGTTCCAGGATATCTAATAAAATTACACACTACTACACTAATCCTTTCCACTTTTGGGAACAAGTTATTTTGTATCTTACCACTTTTCGATCCTGATCCTGTTTTCCTCGGGGAGTGTAGAGATCTACCTTGCAAACGCCTCTGTGGCTGTGTAACCAATCAATACCATCAGACATCTGGAAAGGGAAATTTTTGAAAGGTTTATATGTGGCTCTTAGATCCCTCTGAAATGTCTGAACTTGATGATTGGGAGCATTATCTTTTAGCACAAGCCACAATCTCCTATAATTTAGACTCCCCAATTCAAGTATTTAGAATTACAGGCTTTGGAAGCAAATCTGAAGAGATTTGGAGACTGTAGGGATTAAAGTTGTGATTTACTTCTACCCAATTCTACTAACTCCACTAAATATCACCTTTTCCCACTTTTCTTTATTCACTCTTAGAGACCTTCAAAGAATCAAGCTCACCTCATCTCCTTTAACTGAATTTTAGCTAACTCCAGTTCAACCAGAGTCTTTCTCATTACATTAAAGGAAGTTTAATTAGGGAAACAGTAGTAACACTTATCATATAGGGTCATGAGAAAAGACTAAGGTTAATCCCGGCAACACTTTACTAAACAACAAATATAATGGCCTGAAGGAAGACCAAACCCCTCTCACCTTAGCCTAAAACTGAAGGTGAAGAGACAATGGCAGAGACCACATAGTTCTATGTTCAGAAAGACGTTGTTAAAAGCTCAGTAAACTTGCTATGATACCTGGGGCTTGAATTTGATTTCATTTTAAAATTTAACAAGAGAAACCTTTTCTTTTTTTGCCAAGTATTAGAAGGCTGTCCAACTCTTAGTCCAATTTACTTAAAAATTTAAACTCCTCTAATCTCTAGTTCCCCCCAAAGAATCTAGTTCCCCCCAAAGAATCTCCCTCGCTCCCCTCCTCCCCACACTCCCTCCCGCCTCCCCTCTCCCTTTATGCCATTTTCCTCCTCCCTCCCTCCCTCTTATTTCTCCTTTTTTTCACCCCCTCCTTCCCATTACTACCCTCCCCCCACCCTTTTCCTTCTCCCTTCCAATAGTTTCCCTTTTCCTAACATTCCCACCATTTACCATTCCCCCAAGATATTTTTGGGTTTTCCCTTCAAAAATCTCTACAAATCCATGAAAAAATTTAATAAAGACTACCCATACTGTTAGTTTTCAAAAGCTAGATATCACTAGACTAGAAAAAAGATAATCCCTTAATGTGTTTTGGATATAGCCAAAGTCAAAATCCTAAAGAACTGCAAAATATTAAAATTTAAGAACTCATTACCTTGATATTGAAGTTATTTTAGGCTTTCGGCTGAAACGTGCCACCCGGAAGGGAGAGTTACCCCTGTAGATGGAACTGGGCAGTGCCAAGTTTTTGGGCACCTGCAGCTGGCTGCCACCTCCGTCGGCTGCTGGGATGAGACTGAAAGGCCAGGCCCAGTCTGGCTGCTTGTAACCCCCGGGTATGACAGTGGGCTTTGTTGTGTCATAGTGCCCGAAACTATAGCAACCCAGCAAGGCGGGGCAGGCTGGCCAACTCAGCTGCCCCTCACATCAACAACACATCAGATATTAAAATATATAAAGAATATTAATAAAATAAAATAAAATTCAAAG